AGGCAGGAAGGAAGGCAGGAAGGAAGGCAGGAAGGAAGGCAGGAAGGAAGGCAGGAAGGAAGGCAGGAAGGAAGGCAGGAAGGAAGGCAGGAAGGAAGGCAGGAAGGAAGGAAGGAAGGAAGGAAGGAAGGAAGGAAGGAAGGAAGGAAGGAAGGAAGGAAGGAAGGAAGGAAGGAAGGAAGGAAGGAAGGAAGGAAGGAAGGAAGGAAGGAAGGAAGGAAGGAAGGAAGGAAGGAAGGAAGGAAGGAAGGAAGGAAGGAAGGAAAGGACACACAATGAAGTTTGCCCCTTCCTTCCTCACCTCATCACCCTCTCTTCTGTTTTTCCCACAGAGCTCTGCTGACCAAGGGGAAACAAAAAGTGCCCAGAACAACCCACCTTCCAAACTAATCCCCCCCAAGCAGCCCATGTACCCGATGCCACCACAAGCTTCCTCACCCTACCCCGGCCTGGGCTCCTTCCTCTCCCCATCAGACCTGCAGAACTACCGTGGCCACCCCCACCCCAGCCTCTCCAGGCCCCTCAGCTCCAAGCCCATCCTGCCCAGCATCAGTGCCTCTCCCCCACCCTCCTTCCAGATCAGCCCCCCTCTCCACCAGCAGCTCTCCTTGCACCACCCGCAGAGCTCCCTGCTCAGCCAGCCCCTCAGCATGACCCAGGTCCCCCAGCAGCCCCTCCTGTCCCCCCCCATGGCACTACAGGTACAGCCCCCCATGAACGCCTCCCCACCTGGCCAGCAGGTAGGTGTCCCCACACCTGGTCCCCCGTGTCCTGGTGGGTCTGCTGGTGTCTGGGTGGGTTGGGGTTGGTGGGGGGGCAATGTTGTTCCCAGGGGTGACCTCCAGCTCCATCAGCCTGCAGATCTCATAGGCTGGGGGGAGGTGACAGGTTTAAGAGTGCTGGGGTGGATTTAAAATCATAGGGTTGTTTTGGTTGGAAAAAAAGACCTTTAAGATCAACAAGTCCGACCATTAACCAAGCCCTGCCCAGTCCCTACTAACCCAAGTCCCTCAGCACCACATCTACAAGGCTTTGAAACCCCTCCAGGGGTGAGGAATCCACCCCTGCCCTGGGCAGGTTGAGCCAGGGCCTGACAACCCTTTTTTGGGGGGGAAGAAATTGTTGCCAATATCCAATTTAAACCTCCCCTGGCACAACTGGAGGTTGTTTCCATTAGTCCTGTTGCTTGGGAAAAGAGACTCCACCTCATCCCAGCTCCTCAGGGAGCTCTGGGGAGTCTTTTGTGCAAGGGAGCAAGGAAGGCTCTTTCAGTGGGGGAAGATGTGGAAATTGGGGGTGTCCCTGGGAAAATCACCTTGTGCACCTTGTTCCCCAGCCTTGTCTGGTCGTCTGAAGTGGTGGGTTGGCTAATCAGTGAGAAACCCCTCGTGATGTTGCTGAGAGGATTGGGTTAACAAAAGACACCCACTCGGGGGGGGGAGTTACCAGGAGGAGGAGGAGAAGGATAGAGGGAATCACAGGATCTGAGGGGTTGGAAGGGACCTCCAAAGATCATCTAGTCCAACCCCCCTGACAGAGCAGGACCACTTGGTTTACATCACACAGGCAACATCACAAACCAAACATAAAATCAGTTTGTTGGGTTTTTTAAACTGCCTGGCAACAGGAGTCGGTCCCTCTGGGGGGTTGTCTCGAGGTGCTTGCATCTGTGCTCACGCTCACCCCCAGCAGCAGAGTACAAAGGTGTCCAACCACCCTCAGCCCCAGCCCGTGGAGCCACTTTTTCCTCTTTAAACCTGCTCTTAAGAAAATGTATCATCTGGAGGAAAAAAATGGCTATAGCAAAAAAACCCAACACCACCAAAAAAACATTCCCTATACCTCACAGAGAACTTGTCCATATATAAAGGAGGAGATGAGTGTTTTCTGGAGTTTTTCCATCTGGAATATGATCTGGACAGACTATTCACATGCTCTGCATTCCCAGCTGCTGCCTTTACTTGATGATGCTTCAGGTGGCTGCAGCATTTTGTGTTTGATATCACAAAATCCAGCCAGTACCTCAGCCATCAGCAACGTTTTCTTTCCCATAATGTGACCTGTTCTGTTTGGGGCTGAGAAAACAGAGATGGTTCATTTAGGAACCATCCACTTGCAGTGGAAGAAAAAAAAACACAACCAAGGGGAAGAGGGATGTGGAAGCCCAGTTATTCCTGACCATCATAATCAAAACTAACACGTGTGAGAAGGGCAGATCTTCAACCAGGTGGTCATTTCCAACCTGCTCCCGAGTTACTTCTCCAGCCCTGTGATTGGGCATCAGGAAAAGTGGCTTCTGGAATTTGGTGACAGTCCAGAAATGAGCAGAAAAGGGATCCTCATCATCACTTCCATGGGGGTAGTTGCTGTTGTTGGGGGCAGCACTTTGGGAACCCCCAGGGCTCCCCCCGCATTCGACTCTGCCACGGTTTGGGGGTAAAACGTGGGAAGTTGGCAATGTTTGATGCAAAATGATGAGCTCTGTTGTTTCTCCTGCTGCACACACTCCAGTGACTCTTCCTCTCCTCTCCACCCTGCAGGACTTCTCACATATCTCCTCTGAGTTTCAAAACAACGTTGGACCCCGTTCACCTGGAGCTTCAAACCCTCCAGGAAGCACTGAGTGGGACAATGACTATCCCAGCAGAGAGTGTGGGATTAACCACTGCAGGCCAGTAAACAAACATTGCTAATGCCCTTTCTCTTACCAGAACACTGACAGTGTACAATGGCTCAGAATCTGCCCTAAAATGGACAGCCAGTTGGCAGGATCATCAATGTCAATGAAGTTCAAGGTTTCCTCTTCTCTATATGCTCCCCCATGGGGTGCTAGGGAAGCAGGCAGCTTGAAAATCACAGATAAATTCTTCATTGGGCATGAAGAGGTTTCCTTTTTTTATGTTTCCATGCCATTTAGCAGTGATGAGTTGCACATGTTTCCTTTTAGAGCTGGGTAGGGAAGGACAGTGTCCCAGGCTCTGGAGGTTTGAGGGTTGCCATGTCCATAAACTATGTCCTTCCATTCCTGAAGGGATTGCCCTTCTCCCTGAGGCCACAACCTCTCTAGTTGTCTCCAGCAGTGGGTCCCTTGTCAGTCCTGGGGTTTAACCACAACAGGGTACAAAGCTCCTGTCCCCTGCACCACAGAATCACTGAATTTTTTGAGTTGGAAGGGACCTTCAAGATCATCCAGTCCCACCCCCCTGCATGGGCAGGGACACCTCCCACCAGCCCAGGCTGCTCCAAGCCCCATCCAACCTGCCCTTCAACACCCCCAGGGATGGGGCAGCCACAGCTTCCCTGGGCCACCTGGGCCAGGCTCTCACCACCCTCACAGGGAAGAATTTACACCTGATCTCTAACCTAAATCTCTCTTCTTTCAGCTTAAAACCATTCCCCCTTGTCCTCTCACTGCAAGCCCTGTAAAAAGTCCCTCCCCAGCTTTCCTGGAGCCCCTTCAGGCACTGGAAGGTGCTCTAAGGTCTCCCTGGAGCCTTCTCTTCTCCAGACTGAACAACCCCAGCTCCCTCAGCCTGTCCTCATCCCAGAGCTGATCCAGCCCTTGGATTATTTTCCTGTCCCTTCTCTGGACACATTCCAACAGCTCCACATCTTTCTTGTGCTGGGGGCACCAGAGCTGGATCAGAGCTCCAGGTGAGGTCTCACCGGGGCAGAGCAGAGGGGTAGAATCACCTCTCTCCATCTGCTGACCACACTTGAGGCCATTTGCTCTTGTCCTTTGGGGGAAGAGACCGACCCCCCCTCACTCCAACCTCCTCTCAGGCAGCTGCAGAGAGCAAGAGGGTCTCCCCTCTGCCTCCTTTTCTCCAGGCTGGACACTCCCAGGTTCTGCAGCTGCATCTCCTAGGAATTGTGCTCCAGACCCTTTCCCAGCTCAGCTGCCCTTCTCTTCACACACTCCAGCCCCTCAACATCTTTCTTGTAGTGAGGTGCCCAGAACTGACCCCAGGCTTTGAGGTGTACCCTCAGCAGTGCCAAGGACAGGGACACTGTCCTTAGACCCTACAAGCTCTGGCATGGACGTCTCAGCCTGTGGGTCTGCTCAGATTCCCTAGTAAATACAACTATCAGGATAGTGTCCAAGCTGGGGAACAGCAAGGGTGGGGAAACCATTCCAAAGCTCTGCCTGACCCAGGGCTCCTGGCTCGGCAGGGCCAGGTTGGAGATGCTTGTTGTGCTCTGTAAAGCAGGTACGTGGTTGCAGGTAGGGAAGGAGGCTCAGTGACTTCTGAGGATCCTTGGATTTGCTTGAAGTCCTGGAACATCAGGCTTTCACTGGAGATACCAGTGAGTTCTCAGGCTCTTCAGAGCACAGCACCTGTCTGTGCCAGGAGTGCACTCACCATGGCTGGGCTGGGCACAGGCTGTACAGACTTTGATTTCTCTCAGGGAAACAAAGAACTTACTGAGCCATTCAAATACCACTGCCTGCCTGAGGGAGGATTGAGCTGGGCTCTGCCAACCACCTTCCTGAGGTCCTTCCTCAAGCCCCAAGAAAGGAGCCTGTTTGGGACTTGATGATAGAAGCCATTTCAGACACTGTGGGCAAAATTCTTAAGCTGCTTGGAGGGTTATGGGACATGGATCCCATTTTCCAGAGGTGCTGAGCAGAGGCAGCTCCCACAGAAATTGGCCCCCTTAGGAATAAAGATCTCTGCTTGAGGGATCAAAAGGGAAAAGACTTGACTCCCTCTGTGAATCCCAGTGCCTGGTCCCCAAGCAGAAAACTCAGGGCACTCTAGAAAGGGGTGAAATGCTCCTGTAGTTGTCAGGGTTGGGTTTTGTGTTGCTAAAACAAGGTCTGTGACACCTGGCTGGAGCACTGTGTTGTAAGCAGGGGACCCATGCAATTCATGATCAAAGCTCATGCATTTCATGCCTTTGTCACAGCAGAAATATCAGATTTCATGGCTTTATTGCAGCTTCCTGGAAAAAAAATAATTCATTCTAAACCCAGACAGATTATGCAGAGACTTCCAGATAATTATTAGAGTAGATTATAGCCATGGAAGCAGACAGATAGAGATGAGCACTGCAGAGACTGCTCAGTGCTCCAAAAAATGTCCTTGTCACTGTCAAGGAAGGAGCCCATCTCCCATGACTAGAGACAGAAGCTGCTGGCAGCCCAGCTCCCTGAGCTGGTTTGAGTCATCAGTGCAGTTTTAGGTATAATTGGGAACTTGTGTAATTGCCCATTTCACCCTCAAAACTGCATTCAGCTTAATTGCAATTAAAGCAGCTCTCAGAGGAGCCAACTCAGCAACTGGCTGGGAAGGAAAAGGGTGATTTTGTGTTGTGATGTGGCTCAGCTGCAGACACCCAGGTTCCTGGAAGCAGGGATTGTACCAACCTCCCCAGCACACAGGCAGCCCTGTCCTGCTCTCCAGGTCAGGGGTTTTGTTTCATGCCTGAACTTGATCTTTCTTTAGCCTCCAACACTTGCTGGCACTGGGTTAGCTGGGGTAAAACCTCCAGATCCCACATGTTCCTTTGTATTTGTCACCCAGACAACACCTGACAGACCAACAAGGTTGTCTTTCTGCCCATCTCCATCTAATAAGGAAACTGCTGTAGCTTTTTTTTCCCCTCAGCCCATCAGTGCTAGTTAAAATGCCATGGAATGACACATCTTCCCTTATGCCCCTCTGGTTCTAGGATCCTATGAGCAGATGCTCCTTAATTCATAAATGAGAGTGTTTTCAATGTTTCTTAGCTCATGCACTCCCTGTTCTTCATGATTTTGTGCTCACTGACTTCCAGCCAGTTTTCCCAGCTCTTCCTGGGCTGAAGCCCAAGCTGTCCTGGATTGGCAGTGAGGAGATGGGCAGTGTTCCTCAGTCCCTCCTTAGTGTGTGACTCGCACTTCCTACAAGCAACTGCATCACACAATTTTCTTCCTTTTCTGCCATCATCCCACAAAACAACTTCAACAGCCCCTTGTCCCCCTCACCTTGGCCTTGCACTTGCTCTTTTCCTGGCTTTTGCAGGGATTTTCTCCAAGCTCACCCATATCATGAGGGCACCTTGGTTCACAACCATCTTCCTTAATTCCATCAGGCATCCCACCCATTGTTGTTTTTTTTTACCCTGCCTTCTGGTGGCAATTCTGTCCATTCCAAAGCTGCCTTCTGGGTTTGGTTTATATTAGTTCCTCATTTAGGTATTTTGATTCTATCACTGAACTGGATTTCTCTTTCTATGTCCTTCTTCTCATTTGCAAGGCACAGATTGGGTTCTTGGTGGAGACCATCATTTAGCAACCTTTCTTCTCTCTTCTAGAGGAGGCCACAGATATGATCCAAGGGCTGGAGCAGCTCTGCTCTGGAGCCAGGCTGGGAGAGCTGGGGTGTTCAGCCTGGAGAAGAGAAGGCTCCAGGGAGACCTTAGAGCAGCTTCCAGTGCCTGAAGGGGCTCCAGGAAAGCTGGGGAGGGACTTGGGACAAGGGCAGGGAGGGAGAGGACAAGGGGGAATGGATTAAAACTGGAAGAGGGGAGATTGAGGTGAGACATGAGGAGGAAATTCTTTGGTGTGAGGGTGGTGAGAGCCTGGCCCAGGTTGCCCAGGGAAGCTGTGGCTGCCCCATCCCTGGCAGTGTTGAAGGGCAGGTTGGATGGGGCTTGGAGCAACCTGGGCTGGTGGGAGGTGTCCCTGCCCATGCAGGGACATGCATCATGGAACTAGATGGTCCCTTCCAGCCCAAAACACTCAATAATTCCCACTAAAGGACAGGGCACTCTCAGCTGTGCCTTGTCCAGACACACTGAAACATCTACAGCCACTTCACCCAGACTCTCACAACCTCAGTAATTCCTTCTAGCAATGAAGTCTCCAAATGTGAGAATCTTCCAAATCAGAAACTAAATGAGCAAACCCTGTACAAAAGCAAGGAGAAACCCTCACCAGTGCACTTAGTTCAGATTCAATTATTTATGGTAATACTTCGTAATGAACTGGGAACTCTTCTGTACCATATTTTGTAAAATTAATGAAGTTTTAGTGCTGGGATAGCTCACTGCTGCTCAGTGGCATTAAATCTTTGCTGAGTGCAGGAGGGAAGACTCTGCATTTTAAATGCAGATTATAAAATGTGGAGATTAACCAAGTGCAGACTCCTCTGCTCTCGATCAGAAGACAACTCCATCAGCAGCAGCATTACCAGGTTCTCTGCTATTTCCCTGTTATTCCACTCAGAAGCACACCCACCCTGCCATCTCCCAAAGCTTCCTGGTGTTCTTCACCACCTTTGAAGGCCAAGATGTCTTTATGGAGCCAATAATGTTTCCATCAGGTCTCTGCAGATGATAAAACCCTGGTCTGATAAGACCTTGGTCCCTCCTCTCTCTGCTGTGACCTGAAGTCCAGCACAGGACAATCCTGCTGGCAAGAGAAGCCAGCCAGCCCACAGAAGGGGTTGAAGAATTTCTTCCTCATGTCTAACCTAAATCTCCCCTCTTCCAGTTTTAATCCATCCCCTTTGTCCTCTCCCTCCCTGCCCTTGTCCCAAGTCCCTCCCCAGCTTTCCTGGAGCCCCTTCAGGCACTGGAAGGTGCTCTAAGGTCTCCCTGGAGCCTTCTCTTCTCCAGGCTGAACACCCCAGCTCTCCCAGCCTGTCCCAGAGCTGCTCCAGCCCTCCCAGCATCTTGTGGCCTCCTCAGGTCCCTCTCCAGATGGAGCAGGTCCCACCATCCCACCTGATCCAGATTTGACCACCCCCCTGCAGCCCAGCAAGAGCCAACAAAAAAAATTAAGGCACAGGAAGGAATTGATGCCTTAGCCCTGTGAAAGCTCAGGAAGAACCAAACTCCCAGCAGGCTCTTACCCCTCAGCTTGGCCCCTCTCCCCACAGCCACCCCTCGGTGCAGAGCAGGGCAGAGCAGCAGCACAGAAACCCGGGCAGGGGACACCCCAACCCTTCCCTCACCCATCTCACCTTCTCCTCCCCTTTCTCTTCCAGCATGCTGCCGAGGGACAAGGCACTCTACCTCACCTAAAACTCAGCATCTCTTTGGGAGGAGGCTCAGACCAAGGACACTTGAGAGGGTCTATCCCTGCAGACCCCCCGGGAGGCACCGAGCGAGTCGTCAGGGCCCCGAGAGCTGCCGCTCGCACCTCGTCGCTGGCTTCACCTCCAGGCTCTAGGACCAGCTGTCATGTCTTATTTTTGCAACCCTCCACTCTTCCTTTCCTGCAGAAACCCCTCCCCACAACCCACCCCACACTTCAAGAAAAAACAAATCAACCCAACTCCTCAACCACCAAGAACAAAAACCATGAAAAAAAAAAATAAATCGATAAAAATACAAAATAAACCAACAAAACCAACAAAAAAAAAATGGAAACAACCCAAGGACACCATCTTTTTTTTTCTTTTTCCTGCTTGCCATCAGCTTAGCATAGTATTTTCCTAGAGAACTGCTTTTAGATGCAACATAGGCCCAGATCTTGGTGTCCTAACAGCATTAGGCCAGCTCAGTAGGAGGGTGCACCCTCTCTTGACTTGCTAACAGCACTAAACCTTGTGCAAGAAAAATGTGAAGTTTGTGTGAATATTGTACATGCAAAGGCCTTGGATGTCTGGCAAAAAAAAATAATCAAAAATAAAACAAAAAAAAACCCCTACAAACTATTGCTAGGTAGGTGGGAGAGCAGAAGGCAAAATATGAGAGGGAAAAAGGTGAAAAAAGACCACGAAAATATAATTTGTTGGATAGTTGTAAGTAGTTTACTAAGTGTTTTAGAGCTGTGCTAAAGGCATCTTTTAAGATTCTTCTCTCTTTTTTTTGGTGACAAACAACAAGAGTAGTTTACTTTCTAGTCAAAGCATTTTCTATTAATGGTAGCACATTTTTTTTTTAGTTCCACATAGAAGGGAGATGTGTATAAAAAGAAAAAAAACCAACAAACCAACAAAAAGAAGAGCCTGCCAAACTTGTTTCTATTATTTGTACAGCAAGAAATGGACAATTTATATCCATGTTGTATGGCATTATTATATTATTATTATTTTTTCCCTGCCATATGTCCATCTATTTAAAAAAATTGCTGACCAGGATTTTTGTCTATTTATGAATAATTAGAGAGCAGCTCCTCAGAAGGTGCATTTTTTTTGGGGTCCTTTCTTTTTGTTCTCTTCTTTGGGGTTTTATTTTCTCTTTGGTTTGAGGGCCCTGCTTTGGCAGGGCCTGGCACAGTCGGTTCAACAATGCTTCTCTGACCTTTCTTTGTAATAAAACCTCTAAAAAGTAGCCCTGAACCAGCCTCTCCTCATTCTGGGGACACACCTGGAAATGTCCTTGTCCTCCTTCCCCATACCAAGCTCCTCTCCCATCACCTTCTCACTTGCTTTCTCTCTCTCCCCCCTTGCTCTGGGTCACTATTACTTAATTCCATCTATCTGCTCCCACCCCCAGCAGGGAAATCTCTCACTGAGCAGTGCCAGACAAGCTTTTTTCTTGCATTTTCTTGGGAAATGCCAACCTGATGCTCCACATTCTCCATTCTTAAGCATTAACTCCTTGCCCTCCCTGTTGGGTTACAAAGCTACCCCAGCCCTATGGACCTTCCTCCCTACCACTCTTCCTTCCACCCTTGAGCAGACAGAAAATATCCTCACAGGCCACCAAGCTGCTTGGTGGCCACAAGAGCCCCATTTCCAGCTTTTCCTGGGAAGCCTGGGTGAGAAGGACATGAGAAGAATGGAAAATTCAAATGAAATGCCACAGCTTGAGCCTGCCTGAAGGAAACGTGGTCATTCCTTGTACTCATAGAATCACAGAGTGGTTTGGGTTGGAAGGGACCTTAAAGATCATCCAGTCCCACCCCCCTGCATGGGCAGGGACACCTCCCACCAGCCCAGGCTGCTCCAAGCCCCATCCAACCTGCCCTTCAACACTGCCAGGGATGGGGCAGCCACAGCTTCCCTGGGCAACCTGGGCCAGGCTCTCACCACTCTCACAGGGAAGAATTTCTCCCTAATATCTAGCCTAAATCTCCCCTCTTTCAGTTTCAAACCATCACCCCTTATCCTATCACTGCCCTTTCTGGTGAAAACCTCCTCCCCAGCTTTCTGGAGCCCCTTCAGGCACTGGAAGGTCCCTGGGTACCTTATTTTAAGCCCATCCATGGACAGAGCTTGGCCACGGGAGCCTCCCCACACTGTGTCACCAGCACACTGGGGATTGTCACTTAGCTGAGGCCCAGTTTCTTCCAGTGCCCATGGAAATGGGAACGTGAAGCTGGGGCATGGCTGCACTTCTCATATACCCTGGGCCACCAGGTCTGGTTGAGAACCCAACACCACAGCTGAGAGCTTCTTTTTCCTCACTGCTGCCCAGCTATGCTGACACTGGCCTTAACCCTTGTGGTCTCCAACAACCTGAAACACCTTTTTTTGGCTTTCAGACCATTTTAACAAAGCAGGGAAGAGCTCACCCTGTAGGCTTAAGGGGTTTTTGATCAGGTTAATGGTCATTTTCATCACCTAATGGCTTTACAAGGTCGTGCTGCCATGTCCTGTGCCTCCTGCACACCAAGCCCCAGCTCTTGGTGGCCCACAGGCCCCTGGACAGGACACAGGACGTGGTGGGAGCTGACCTGCTGTGTCCTCTGGTTGCCACCTGCTGTAGCATCATCCACACACCCTGCTGGCACATCCAACAACATCCCAAAATCCCACCCAGAAGCTGCCTTCTCTGAATGGGGCAACCAGGAGGAAGAGCTGCTGAGATGAAGGGGTGGTTTGGGGCACGGTGTGTTGGGCTGAGCAGTCCCCAGCAGACCACCCTGGATCCCAGAAGAGGCAGGAATAATGACACCATGGCAAGGGACAGCAGGCCACTGGGGCTGCAGGACCTGCAGAAATCCAGGCAGGTCCCAGGCAGGTCCCTCTGCAATCAGCCTGGCATAAAACCCACGTTCTGCTCCACTTCTGAGGCCATCACAGCATCCTTGCCAGGTGACTGAGGGGCAGCCCCTTCTGCTGAGAACATTTGCTTTCTCATCAGAGCAGTTCCACTTTTAGCACCAAGCTACCTGCTCTCTTCAAGTCTAACCAGACCAAAGTGCCTGCTCCTTGTTCCACGGACCCTGGTGACTCTGTATTTTGCTCCTGTGTAAGCACAGCACCCATCCCACCAGCACAGCACAACAGTTGTGGAGATGGACAAGCAAGGAGAGCTATAAATGTGGGACTCTTCCCCACTGGTGGCCACCACCAGGCCATGAAGCTCCTCTTTTATCTCTCTAGTCTTGAGCCATTTGAAAATCAAGCAAGGAGCATAATAAAACTCCCTGAGGAGCAGCAGGAGCAATAACATCTCAGCCCACCTTGGCTAACCTGGGGTGAGCAGGGAACTACTCTGCAAGACCAGAACCAGGAGATTTCTTCCAGATATGCAATTACTAACATGGGGTGGGAAATGAGACATTAAGATGAAAACCTACCTTGAGTTATCACAGCAAGGAGAAAGGGCTTCATCCAGGGGGAGCTTCTGGAATATTCACTCCTGGTGTGTGGAGCAGTTAAGTGGCCTCAAGAGTCTGAAATCATCAGGAAGCCATTTCCAGCCCTGGGAGGAGATCTGGAAGAGGTCTTCACTGAAAGCATCACATTCCAGCACGTCCCTGTGCTTTGCCTTTCCTTAGGGAAGGTGCCCAGCAGATGCTCAGCAGCCCCCTGGACCCACCCCCCAGGAACAGCAACTCAGCTCCAGCCACAGCAGGACCCACCCCAGGGATGCAGGGCACTTGGCTCTTGAACTGTGAGATGTTCCAAACCACTTGAATCCTTACTAATCTCTCCATGTGCATGATGGCAGCTGTGCTTAAGCAGCAATTCCAGCTGTTGGCTGTTTCTGGTGGACCTAGAGCTGCTCCAGGGAAGTCACTGAGATCATCACCTGCAGGGACCTTAGTTCCCACCAACCACCTCCTCTGAGCAGTGACAACTGCAGAAGTGGTGCTGAGGGGCAGGACAAACTCCAGCACTTCTACTCTTAGTCAATAAGCCCCAACTCAGTCCTCAAAAGGCCCCAAAGCAGCTCTGGGACAGGGGTGGGCAGGGCAGGACCAGGCAGGTGTCCCCAGGCTGCTGATGGAGAGGGAATTTAAGAGGCAGAGGCAGGGAAAGCCCTGGCTAATTGGTTTATAAAAACATAATTAGCAGCAGTGTAGGATGTGATGAGAAGTTTAACAAATCTCATCAGTGGGATCTTGGCTGTGTTAACCCTTTGAGTGCCAGGACTCAGCCCACACAGCCCCTGTTGGGATGGGATGGGATGGCTCTGGATGGCAGTGCTTGGCTCACACAGAGGCAGGGAAACCCACCTTCACCCCAGCAGCCCCCCCAAACACAGCCCCCCACACCCCCAGGGTGTCCTGTGGACTGGTGGTCTGTGGGAAAGGGGCTAATTGGTTTATAAAAACATAATTAGCAGCAGTGTAGGATGTGATGGGGAGTTTAACAAATCTCATCAGTGGGATCTTGGCTGTGTTAACCCTTTGAGTGCCAGGACTCAGCCCACACAGCCCCTGTTGGGATGGGATGGCTCTGGATGGCAGTGCTTGGCTCACACAGAGGCAGGGAAACCCACCTGCACCCCAGCAGCCCCCCCAAACACAGTCCCCCACACCCCCAGGGTGTCCTGTGGACTGGTGGTCTGTGGGAAAGGCCTGGTCTTGGTCTGTGGTTTCACCTTCTGCACCAGCCCAAGCTGTGCCCACAGCACAGGGCCACAGCCACTAATGTCCCAGCAGGGCTGGGAGGACAGTTTGTCTTTGTTACATCCATGTTCTTATTTTTAAGATGATGGAATGGAAGGGAAAACTGTCTTGACAAGCAATATTGAACATTTTATGCAAGAAGGATCAAAGGGAAGGATTTCATTTGACAAATCCCAGGACCCTGACACGAGCAGCCCATGTTAGGAGCAAAAGTCTTGTGCCAGCCCCAGTGAGGTCCTGGTCCTCCACCTAGGGCAGGTTTGCACCTCAC